TGTTCGATTCTTGCTTGAAGGAACAAGAAAGATATTCCTTGCAAACTTTGCATGTATCAATGAAGAGCTGTGCCTATCTTCAAGTATCTTTTGTTGAAGAAAAGTTCGCTCCTTCAACTGCAATGATTGTTTGTATTCATCGAACAATGAACTTTGACTTTATCAGCTATTTTTGCCACTGTTCTCTTGATCATAGAAATATGATTCGAGAAACCTTGTCCTGAGTAAAATTTATTGCTGATTCGTAATATCAATATATTTCCTATCCTCCTTAAGAACTGAAAAGAATGCAGTGCAGAGTGGAGTGTGGGTGTGGTAGAAAAGAATACCCATCCACACACTCACACCTCACACTCCAACCCATCTGACATACAAAGAACTCTGCAATTATCTGATGGTAATCGAAATCAGCTCATGAGAGACTATAAGATTTGGTAACAGTGAGTGAAACTCAGTAATAATAATCTGTATCTGTTTAGTTGCTTTTTTTATCGGCTTTTTTGTACAGTCGTAGCCATGTACTTACACTCACGCATGCAATAATATCATCATTATGCGCGAAAAGCAATGAAAAAAAAGAAAACGTGAAGCAACACTTCAGATAGCATCCACGAGTAATTCATTTGGTTTAAAAAAAAACACTTCTTTTCAGCAGAAGTCATAAAGAGTTGCATCTTAATTATTCGTTTTCATCTTTTCAAAATAGAGAATGCAATCGAAAAAAGTATAGAATGTCACGTTTTAGGTTCTTTAACACATTATGTTTACTGTTCACAAAAAATAGAACACGGTTTTCACAATTATGACTGACATTGTAATTTATTTCTATAATCTATAGTCTTTCTTTCTTGGTTTATCAGTCTGCATTCTATCAAATAAACGAAGAATAATCTGTCTATTCTTGATTGAAATTTTACGCCTATGGGTATGGCTTTCTTATTCTTAATCTACATTCATGCCCCTGGAGTTACTATGAAAGTACATTCGGGTTCACTGTAAAAAGCAATCTCTTGCTTTCATATTCCTTCTGATAGGAATAACTATCTCTTGAAAAAAACCTTTGCCAAAGGTTCTCATGATAAATCTGCAACAAGAGAACAAAATTTTTTTGATAGATGTGAAAAATCTTAAATCAAAATAGTTTGACTAATTTAATTTTGTGACCAAAGTTCTAGCGTACTATCATGTCGAATACCGTACTCTGCTAACTTTCGACTCTCGTGAAGTTCACTTCCGGCAAAAATCAGCTTTTGTTCATGAAAGGGAATGTGTGCTCGTTGATAAACTTTCGCTTTGACATTTTGAATAGTATCACTTGATCGCACTACCAACGTAATAGTTTCTTCAGTTAATCTTTTGACATAGATTCGCATGGTATCAGAAATAACGAACTCCAATATGCTTTCACGTCCAATATTATAGTCTAATAAAATTCGATCATTTTCAAGTTTAATGTTAGCAAAAAACAGTTATTTTTTATGTTCTGCAAGGTCAATTTTTTTCTGTACATCTGCGATGAAGTCACTCGAGTGCACTATCAATGTAAGAATTTTCCCAGCCTTTCTTTTGACATAGATTTGTATTTCGTCAGGGATAAATAAATGTAATGTGTTTCTCTTTTGAATACTATAATCTGATAAGGTTTTATCATCTCCACGTTGTCTACCATCACAAACCAATCACTGACAATCAGCTCTGATATATTCTATATCTTTAATTTTTTCAATAATTGGATGCAGGACCTCGAGGGAGAAGAAACACCGTGCTACCATCATCTATATCGTAGTCTGATAAGGTTCGATGATTTTCAAGAAATTTTCCTTCGAATAAAATAAAATGATATTTCTCAACTCAATCCAAACAAGAAATGAATTTTGGCACTTTTTTGAATATTGTAATCTGATAAAGTTCGTCTATCTTCAAGTTTTCCACTGACAGATAACAATTTTTGTGGATATGGAGAGATCAATATTTCATCTTCAATCTTTGCTTTGACATATTCGAATGTATCACTTGGCTTCAGTTTCAATACAAAAGTTTCTTTAGTCAATGTTTCGAAAATAATCGGCATGCCTTCAGAGAGTCAAACTACAAAATGAACTGTGCTTTCATTTATAATATCGTAGTCTGATATGGTTCTATCATTTTTAAGTTCTTCACCATTAAAAATCAATCGCTGTTGATCAGGCGGAACACCTTCTTCATCTTCGAATTTTCGTTTTCACATTTTCGATGGTATCGCTCGGCTCTACTTCCTTTTTAATAGTTCTAGCCCAACCATGTTTGACAAAGATTTGTATGCCTCCATAAAGAGGATAAACAATATGCAATATTGCTCCTGTCTTGACATGATAATCATTCAGGGTGTTTCGATCTAACAAACGCTTTCTAGCAAAAAGTAATCTTGATTCTTCAATTAAACATTTTCTTATATTTCTGATTTTTTTCTTGATATTTTCGAACGTTTCAGATAGTTCAGTATTAATCATCAATGTGTCACCTGTCAGCATTTTTACATAAATAAAATTTAAGTCATTGTTAATAGAACGATCATGTTCGGCCAATGCAGAATTCATATCCAGTATTATAAAAGATAAATAATTGAGACTTACTGAAATGATGACACGAGCTCCATGAATAATGAACTGCTGAGACAGTACTCGAAAGATTTTACTTCGATATGTTATTATTCGTGATCAACTGATATTAAATATATCATAGGAATAACAACAAAACTCAGAGGAGAACTCACGAAAGTCTTGCGTTAGGAGGCTCATTGAATTTGAGCAAGGAGATTTTTTAGATTAATGGAGATCACATCTTGAAATTCTTTTCTCACATTCAGTAGAGTGATTATGACCGAATCAGTAGAAAATTTCAAATCATTATATCTCAAGGTAGACATCTATTTAACAAAATAGAATTGTAGTGGCGGAATTTAAGAAACAAGACTAATTAAATTTTAATTCAAAATAATTTTTCTGTACTTTTTGTTTGTCATAAAAGATACGAAGAAGATCAATTAAAAAGTCAAGAAGAATAGAGAATAGTGATGGCAGAAAAAAAACATCAGGAGCGATCATGAATTTAGGATGCTTCTTCTTATGGTCTATAGCTTTGCAGGAACTTTTTTTACTAGTCAATATATATAAAAATTAGGTGAATTGGTAGATAAAATCAAGTTGATATTCTCAATAAAAAGCACATGTTTCTCATTCGTAAAAGCTACAAAGCCTAGAACAAGAATTATGTTTGACATGTTATTGTTTATTCTCATTGCCAGTGCATTTGAAGCAGGTCGTAAAAACTATAGTAATTTTTTCATGATTCTCGCAGTTTAGTTTCCTTTATAAAGAATTTTACACTTATTCTAGAATATGCTTCGACGTGCGAGAAGAATTAAAAATATTCGACGGTGAGTCAAATTTGAAGCCTTTTTCCAATATGAAGACAGAAATTAAGTTCTTGGTTCTATCTCAGAGTAACAAGAAAATCCATGAAACGTCAGAGATCTGATTTGGGCAACAATTTAATAGATTTTTCGCCAATGCGAAAAAGTCTCCTTTCGAAAATACTCCAAAATGTGAAATTAGACAAAGAGATTTCTATATAATGTGATATTCAAGTGAGCTGTAACTTCTAGTCGCACGAATTTATATGCATTTTACCAGTTGATATTGTCTATATAAATTTGGTATTGATAAAGTTTTTTTCAAAAATCACGATACTTTACAGAAAGACTGAAATACGTAGAAATTTTTTTATATGCAAAGCGGCTCCTGTTAGTTGTAGTACAAAACAGAAGAGATACTAAACACTCCTTTGTAGTACAACTCCTCGAAAAGCAGATGATGCATGGTTCAATTTCTTGCGAAGAGAAATTATTCTTTTGTTTCATTCTGTCGTCATTCAATCTCGTTGCTATCTTGCTGATAACAGAGTATCATAATATGTGAGATTGAAAAATATAAAGAAAAAGAGAAAAAAAGACATACCAACTTTCTCTAACGTAGAATTATCTAAAAAACTAATATCTTGAGCAAGTACTAGAATTCAGCTATCAATACTGAAAACAAAAACATTTTATGGAGAAAAGTTTTTTACAAGTTATTTATTTGAAGTACTGTAATCTTTCCTGATCACTTTCGATCAAAAAACTAAACAGCTTTTCTTACTTCATATTGTGAAAGAGTAGAACAAGTCTAGTTCTAACTGATCGTTTTTGATACTTTTAAAATAGGTAAAAAGATGACCAGATATTTTTTTCGAAAATTTTCTCTCATTCATTCATTCTTACACAGGCATAATGAAAAAAAACACTGTATAGCATCTCTGAAATAAAATTAGAGCTGAAGAAATTATTATAAAAACGTTTGATAAACATATTAACGTCTTCATGTACAATAGTTAACTTGCAATAATTATCTAGAGTGGCACTCTGATTTAACTTACTTTGATGAAATGGAAATAATATTATTACTTGAGTTTTTTTTTCTTAAGACTGTATGATGTGCGAGCATATGATATGAAAAAAAACAAAATATGATATTCATGCTTCTACACATATTTGTGACGTATTATTTACTTGGAAGAAAAAGAAAGCGTTCCATCCTTCCAATATGAAAAACTGTTTACCTCCTACCTTGCAAGTTTCATATTGAAATACTACCGTTGTCAATGAAAGAGTGCCGGTGTGGCCGTGGCTGTCAGTGGAATGCTGTGTGGGTATGCTATGAAAAAAATACGGAACCAAAAAGGTTCTTGTGCGCTCTAAGAAACTTGAAAAAAAGTTCCGATTTCGTTGCAAAAGTGGTTTCGTACGGTACCATTTTTTTCAGAGTGAGTGTGACTGTGAGTGTGGATGTAGGTAATCACTTGAGCGAGACTCAGATCCACGCCCCATACTTCACACCTACACACCCCATCTACATCCACATCCTTCGTTACAGCATACTTAATACTCGGTTTAGATCATCATTCCTCGGATAACTTATAATAGATCACTGTGCGTGTTGATTATGTATTATTTGATTGTCCTTCCAGTTAGGTCCTATTAGTTCTTTTAAAAATTCTTCTGTACACCATTCTTCTTTTCCAACATATTTGTCAAGAAACGATTGTCCGGCTCCGATGTTGCATCGATCACATGACCATTCTGGTGTAAGAACGCTGATGATGAAAGCAAATCCATGCTTCCCATGTCGTAATTTTAACGCTTTCGAAGCAATCGTTCCTGGACTTGTAATTACGGGTACTTCTCCAGCAGTATAATCATGACCTAAGATTTTATGTTCCACATGACCGTCATCATAAAATAAGTAATAATCCACACTATCTCCTTCAACTAATATGTGCAAATCATCGGTATAATCCAGTGAATGTAAATAGTTGTATGCTAATTGTGGTTTATTCGGAAATAAATCTGTCAACATATAATAAATATTACTGTGAGCACGCAATGTTGAGTTTGATGGACGGGATGGTATCGATATCTCTAAAGAAGAGTTCTCGATAATTTGAAATAAACCACTTTCCAAAGGTAATTCGATCAGATTAAATCTTTCAATTATGCTGTTCATCCTATTAACACACTCATTACTGTCTAAAGATGTTGCATCGCAATGTGTTTTGACATATCCAAGGTTAGGAGTAGTAGATGTCGAAGTCATCGAAATGAAATAATTATAGATAACAAAACGAAGGTACACCTGTATAGTGTAAGATAAAAAAAGCATAAAAAGACACCAATGATATACTGAAGCAAACAGAGAAGAAAGTAGCATGTTTATTGGTGGATTCAAAAATAAATGGGATTTACTATCGATAGGTTCTACTCACCAACGTAGTTAGTCTGATAAAAGCAAAATGGTGATCACAAGAGACTGAAAGAATCAAGTAAATTGTATAAAGTAAAAAAATTAACGATTGCCTAGGAAATCCTTTAACGACAGATAAATACAGCAGAAAGAGCAATAAGAACAAAAGGATCCAATTGCATGCGTCCTCTACATCAACCAGAATATGAGTGAAATCCGCAAGAACAACATAAAGACATCCCTTTTTATATTGCTTACCATTTAAGCTGATTGTTTTTTCAATGTGGACATTTACAATCAATATTAGATCTAATTAATTCCAAGTCCTATCTTACTAAATATCAAGAGAGTCAAAGCGATGCCACGGAGGGGGTCGGGTGGCTGTGGGTGTGTTTAATCTTCGCACACAATTACGCCTACACGTATCCATCCGCACCCCACACTCACACCCGACCCCTCTGAAACGCATCATCCTTGTTTTTGAAAAAATGGAGTAAAAGAGAAAAAATATGATTACCAACTTTTAATTGGTAGTATGCAAGATGCACCAGCTTGACATCAAACACAATCAGTACAATAAAAGCAACAAATAAAGTCATAAAAGAGGGTATGGGTGCGGATGTGAATGTGTTTGTAGAACTAATATTAATCCAGACTTCACTCACACTTTCACCCTCAAGATTAAGCACGAGTCTATGCCGTTTTCTTGGAGATCGTGGTGATTTTCGCAACATGCGTGAGACTATCATTTTTATAGGACATCTGCTACATTTATATAGACTTTTCCATTGTATGATTTACCTAATTGAAATTCGAATATTTAAATGAAAATTTCGGAAACATTTAAAAATCATAGTAGGCAAAAAATATTTATTGCAATTATAAATTATAACTGATCTAATACTTTCGTAAAACTGTCGCACCTTCATTCTAGCTGCTACAATATTTGTAGACTTATTCTTTCATTCTCACCCCTGTGTCATATATAATCCCTTTTGTTACTCTCACAGCTGCAGTTATAGAAAAACTTTGTGCGAATTAAAATTTATAACTGAAATAGATATTCGAACGCAAATTAAGCAACTGATGCGTATAATTAATGAAATTCAGTTATGTTGCGCGCTATGAAATTTCAATAATAAGGGTGTGGGTGTGGGTGTGGGGTGTGGGTGGGTGTGAGTGTGAGTGTGGTTATGGATGTGAGTATGTGCACTCGTAACTCAATACCCACACCCACACCCACCCCCACCCCACACCCACACCCACATCCACCCACACTCACACCCACACCTACCCACCAACACCCACACCCACACCCACCCACATCCCACCCACATCCCACACCCCACACCACCCACATCCGGGTTACATGAATTTCGGCCCACGAATTTTTTGTCCCGGACTTTCGGCCCGGGCCGAAATTCCGGTGATTTTTCGGTCCGGGCCGAAAGTCCGAAAGGAATTTCGGACCAAAACTTAATTTATCTATTTAATTTTGAAAATAATTAGTAAACTTCATGGTGCTCAGCACTATGCACCTCCAATAAAACGTTGTGCTCAGCAGTATGACATGGTGCTCAGCAGTATGACATGGTGCTCTGCAGTATGACATGGTGCTCTGCAGTATGATATGGTGCTTGGCAGTACGACATTGTGCTTGACAGTATGACATAGTGCCTAGCTAGACAGTCTAGTACCTAACACTATGCACATCGATAAAAAAATTGGCAATTCGGATATTGATCGAAACATAGGTTAAGTATTCTGTTGTGGGAACTGACGCAATATTTAAGAAATGGATATAGAACTCAGCAATACGAATTTAGATGACATGATAATTATAACATTCGGCTGTATCTGTGTACTTTTTCGTCTATTCTACTTAGGAGATAAATCACATCTTTTTGATATTGAATGAAATACATGTTTAGATAGTGATCACATTTAGCTGGCATGTGAACGCTCTATTCCAAAAAGGGAGGAATAGGGAGGATTGCCATTGAAAATTTTTAGGAGGATCTAGCATGAAAAAGGAGGAAAATAGGAGGATTTCTGCATTCTCGTGGAAAATGTATTCTATGCAGCATTTTAAATTATCACGATGCTTTTTTATTATCTATACGACATACGATAGATTGTCACCCTTTATTTCCACAACATAAATCCTTGGTTTTACACAATGTACAAATGAATGAATGATAATTTTGCATCTTGATTCAGTCATCGCTTGACAGAAATATCATCTGAATTTATTTTTTTCAACCATGAAATATCAAATCGTGTTGCATGAAGAGGTATTTAACGAAAATGTAGTTATCTAATGATAGTTTTCTTGAAATGATTGCATATAGTCCTCTAACAAAAAATGTATTTTAATTTTCAAAAAAAAGTTTTCCTTTAACTCGAGTTTTCAACAATTTCTCATTGTAATCGTCAGAACATGACCATATAGGAATGTGAAAAAATAATATACATATGACTGAATTGCAACTTTTTGCTACGTTTGAATTTTTAATTGTATTTTGTCAATATTTTTCGTTTTGGTGAACCGATTCAGACGAATTTTTATATGTTACTGGCCTTTGAGTGTCTCACTACCACGCAAAAATTTAGCTCTCTAGCTCCTACAGTTGCTGAGTTATGATGGTTACACTGTTAAAAACTCGCACCTTACATAGAGATATACTGAGAAAATCGAATTTTTTCAATAAACGAGAAGAGTGAAAAAATATAATGAATAGATTATTTTGTACTGCTAAGCACCATATCGTCTTGCTGAGTCCTATGTCGTACTGCCAAGCACCATATCATACTGCAGAGCACCATGTCATACTGCTGAGCACAACGGTTTATTGGAGGTGCATAGTGCTGAGCACCATGAAGTTTACTAATTATTTACAAAATTAATTAGATAAATTAAGTTTTAGTCCGAAATTCCTTTCGGACTTTCGGCCCGGACCGAAAAATCACCGGAATTTCGGCCCGGGCCGAAAGTCCGGGACAAAAAATTCGTGGGCCGAAATTCCGGCCACCCCCCACATCCCACACCCCACACCCTTTTTATTAGTTCGAGTAAAAGATGAAAGTCAAACCTTCAAAATTACCGTTTTTCGGAACTTACTCAGGGTGCACGATACACCTATTGAAGATTCGAAAGTCTTTGTATTATCTCGAGACATGAAGATACTTGACATGATTCGAACAAATTTCTCGCAACTTACCGTTCTCTAGAACATCACGACACGAAATATGGATTTTGTTACAACAAAAAACACGCAAAGTATGAAGGCTGAATGCATACGCGAAGGACTTCATAAATGCTGTACTTGGCACTACATTGATTACTAAGTCTTTCATCATCTGTCTTATTGTGTGAATAAATTTTAATTAACGTCATATTGGGCTAAGAAGGCATGACAAATTTCTATCTCATGATATTCAAATTGCTGCACATTATTATCCAAGGAGTGACATAAGCTAAAGAATATTGCTGCAAACGTCTTGATTAATCCTTTGACTACCACGGACGTCTCTATGCGCGCATAAGGAACAGTCAGTTTGTGGTACATATGGTTATCTTTACTTCTTTTTTTTCTGATTCGAGAATTTATTATTGTAGTGTGGCTGCAAGTATCCCATGTTGACGGACCATTTGGTACTCATTCATTGCGATTGACGATCAGATATTTATCGTCTCGAGTTCTTTCAAATGAAAGCAGCCAGACTTCTGAAAGAAGATGTTATAAAATTCGAAGAAACGACGCGACACGTACTACCAGTGTATCAAATGCGATGTTGAGTTGTGTATTACTGACTGTTGCAAAGATTTTCATATATCACACAAGATTTAACATTATCTTGTATAAATCTGTAAAATTTTCTAAGGAACCTTTTCTCTCTCTTATGTCAGGAGCCGAAGGATTAAACGTCTAATATATCTATTTACTTTTTCTATTACAATCAACTTCCTACATTTATTTTTCAAAGTTCTGAATTAAATATCCATGAAACTATTCTCATAATCATTTGATTTGAATTTCATGGAAATGAAAATTTTATTATGTCATTGAAGCGAAAATTATTTCTGTTAATAGTTGATTTAATAATGAAAAGTTTTTTGTAGCTAATTGATTTGAAACATATAATTCAATATCATCATCCTTGATATGTACATTAATAATGATTGTAGAATTTTGTTTATAAGACAATAAAGAAATAGCAGCTTGAACTTTTCTGTTATTGAAATTATAGAAAGTATCTACTGTTGATTGTCGTGACATATTTTTATCTAGATCATTCCCAAACTCAAACAGTTACTAAGTGCATTCATTTTTATTCACAAAAAAAAATTATTATTTGTCTAAGAATCATTTATTTTTCTTCTCAAAATGAAAACAACAATAAACCACTAAGAAAAAAATTTTTCTGTCCAAATCATGATTATCATTGATATTCTAAAATAGAAAAAAAAACAAAATAAAAACGAATATATATATTTTTTTTTTACGTAAAATAATAATCTTACAATTTAATTTTGCTTTTATACTTGATGAATTAATATAATGATAAAGTATAATAAGCATAAACACGAGAACATTAAGTATATTAACAATAACAGCTAATTGTATGTCGGATATCATGTTTTTTTTTCTTTTTAATCTAAAATAATAAATATTTTATTTTCTATTTTTATTTAACGAAGAGAAGAAGATAATTTAAGTGAAATATAAATAATAATTATAAGCAAAAGAAGAGCAATAATTAATACAATAATTAAAATCCATTTTATATGTTTTGTACGTTTTTTTACTTGTACAGTTGTTTTAACATTTTCTGTTGCTTCATATATCATTTTATCTGTATTTGTTAATGCTAATTCAATACTATTAACCATTGTACCTTGTTCATGTATAATACAATGTAAATCATGAAATGTTTTATTTAAATCAGTTAAATCTTTTTCAAGATTATTAACTAAAATATTACTTTTATGAATATAATCTAATTCATATTTTTTATTATTTAAATTTTCATTTATTAATTTTATTAATTGTTCATTATTAGATTGTTCAATATCATTTTCATTATATTCATAACCAAATTTAATTTGAGCATATTGTTGAATTTGTTCAAATTTTAATTGATTTTTTTCAAGATTTATTTTTAAAAAATTTAAACGTTTTTTTCCATAAAATGAATATGAACATTGTTCTAATTTTGTTATAGATGTTGAAAGAAATTTAATTTGTAATATAATATCATTTAATTGATTAAAATATAATTTTTGTTTTTCTTGATTATTATTTAATAATAAATTTTCAGATGATTTTTCTATAGTTTGAAGAGATTTTGTTAGATTATTTAAACGTTGTTCACAACCATTTAAATGTCGTTGAAAATCAGCTTTATTAGTTATTATATTAATAGTCATTTTTGATTTGTCTTTCTTTACCATATAAAAATAATGCCAATGATGTCGAAGAAAAACAAAACCAACAAACTAACGTGTAGGTATGTTATAATGCCAACATTTCATTCTGTTCTCTTCTGTTTCTTTTTGCTCTCATGCAAACATATAATTCTATGTAATGTGTGTGTGGGCCTAAATTCTATTTTGTTCTCAGATTCAAGGTAATGAGGAAACGAATCATTTAGATGTTATGAAAAGAAGAAGAAAAAAACAACAAATGATTTTGAAAAATTTTTGAGTTTTTTTACTTTCATTTATCTCAAATAAATAGAAATAAATTTCAAATATGTGGAACTGATATTGATTCTTAGTGAATTATTTCGAATAAATATTTCTATTTAAACACAAAAATTTATAGATAAAATTAAGTAGAAAAATAATAATCTATATCAATCGTAGAAATACTTGAGTAAAATTCAAATTAGAGTTGTGTTAACCTACTTTTTATTTATTTGTTAATATCTATAGTTCTAATATAAATAATTCTAACGTCAATCGATTCATTGATGTTCGTAATAGTTTAATTTAAACTTTATCTATACATATCAAAGGTCAGTTAGATGATGTTATTTAAGATGTATAGATTAAACTATAGAAAAAAAAGAATGACTAAAGTAACAAACACATAGATTTAACATTAATCGTGTTAATAAGAATTGAAAACTTCATATTTGAAATTGTTCATCTATTTAATGTTTCTTTTGTCTCAGAATTTGCAGAAATTTTGATTTCGAACTTATGAGATGTAAAAAAAAATGTTTGAATATAAAACTTGGTACTTTTTCTTACATAGAATGAAAGATAATATTGTGTTCTACAAATTGATATATGAATCTAAAGTTTCAGAATAATCTTTCAAGAATGAATTCATTGTTAACTAATGACTTGAAACAAACTACTTGTGAATTATTCTTTTTATAGATGAACTAAATAGATTAGTTTTAGAGCATTAAAAAATGCGTTTGGCACAGTTTCAAATATGTCTCAAACGAACACAAAATTCTGATTCTAACCTAATACTATCAAATTTCTGCACGTTTTTTTTTTCAAGAGACTGAAAAATAAATAAATATTTTGTTATTACATTTGTCATAATGACAAAAAAAAAAACTTGAATCTGATTTTAGATTTAATATTTATTAAAAAATGAGAATAGATTTTTATTCATTGAAATAGATTTTGCTTTTACTAATCAAAGAAATCATTTAAATCTAATGTACTATTTGTACTTTGTTGAGTATTTGTTATTGTTTCATTATTATTATCCGTTGCTGTTGTTGTTGTGGTATTAAGTAATGTTTGATTCAATAATTCACTTGTAAGTGTTTTTGATGATGTATGATTATCTTTATTTACATGTGCACAATCAGAAACAATTGAACGAATCTAAAAATATATTCTATAGAAATACAAAATTTTTATAAATAATTTACCATAGTTTCATATGATAATGTAAGTAATTTAACAAGACGTTCATCATTATATGAAATACCTAATCGTTTCAAATGATATTGAATAAGAGATATACGAAAAGATGGTTCATATTTTGACATTTGATTACATAATTGTTCAATATCTTCAATAGTAACTTGATCATCTTCATCATTTGTAGATGTATTTGATGCTTGAGAAGAAGCCATTTATTTTTAACAGATGAAACTAATTCCAAAAACAAAAAAAAAACAATGGTAATTAATCTGTTGCTTATTGGCTATTTTAATTATCCAATGATATATAGAAATTGATAGAATGTCGCTTGTATACAAGAACAATACTTATTTGATTTGAACTGTACTTGAATTCAATATTTCTAATGGCATATGTACTAAGTAATACTTGTACTTTAATTTGTTTTTCTTTTTTACAAATAAACTTGCCCTTGTACGTAAGTACAAAAAAAATACTTTTGTATCTGTACTTGCGTAAGAAAAACATATTTGATGTAGTCATGTATTTTTATGATTTAAATTTCTTTAAAATTATGATGAATATCTATAAATGATGATATTCATTCGACTAATTGTCATAAATAAATATAGTTCTCGAAGATACTAAGAAATTTACATGAATTTAAATTCATGCTTGAAGAATTTACGATAGAGTATTATTTCTTCATTGTATTTTCAAATTATTGATAGAATTTTAATATGAAATATTGATGAAAGAATTCATTAACAACGATATCGAACTTAAAATAAATGCAATTGGTCAAATCTTAGATTACCATAAATAACTAGAAGCTCGACATTTATTTTAATTTTTTGTTAAATACTTATCATTATTTAGTAAATACTTAAAATACTTAATCGAATAAATTTTAATATTTTGAAATGTTTTTCATTGAAGACAATAGTGAAGTATTCAGAAGACTCTCCAAAAACGTAATAAGACATAATTTTGTATTATTCACTTAAGTATAAATTCATTCGAGGTCTATCAAACAAAATATATTTTGTTTTACAATTTACTAAATCAATAAAAATATTGTTTTCAAGATGATTAGATCAATTTTTAAGTGGTTATAAAAATTTTCAAATTAGTTTTAATGTAAGTTTTCATTTTTTAGTCTTTTTCAAGTCAAAAATTACTGTTACCGTTAAAATTTGTTTTTATTATTTGTAAAAAAATAAAAACAATTTATCATTTTGTAAAAATGTATTAAGAATGAAATGAAAATTTCGTATTCAAATGTGCGGAATAAAAAAAAATTCTATGACTCATCGATCTTTAGATCATCGCGATACAAATTATCAATGATGAGTTACCTGTTGAGAAAAAAAAACAATCGAACCATTGTCTAATGCTTTGTACCATAAATAGTAACTGTGACTCATTGTATGATTGTGTAATATTTTATATTGTGTTTTCCTTCTCTTGTCCAATATCTCTTTGATTGCATCAGTAAAAACAAAAAACAAAATTGCGTCTTTTTTTTCACTTATTTTCTTCTTATACAGGTGATATTAAGACTATGAGAGTATCCCTGGAGAATGTTGTGTAAATATCACGATGACGAATGTAAAAAATCTTCCCAGTTGTATTGAATAATAACATACGATTGTCGATGATTGGATGAATGAACACGTCGTTTTTTCCCGCTTTTGTATTTCCCTTGTTTATATATTTTGCTTGACAAAGACAAAAATCGAATTTTACTTTCCTTTCCCCCTTCCCCATTGTATATTTGACTTGTATAAGCAGATTATACAAAACACATATTGTTTTGGATTTTTCATTAGAAAGTAATGATTAAACTATTTGACTATGAAAATTAAAATTTCAATGATTGGCATTATTGATTTTTTTGAATAGTGGGTTTTCTATTTAGTGTGAGAGAGACAACATACGTATACTTTACAATAATAGAAATATCAAGATATAAATGTAATCTTTAATAATGATATATTTTCCATCAAGATGTATGATGTTCGAAACTGGAAAATCTTACGATCATTTTTTCTTTGATCTTTATATGTATAATTATATTCAAATTCAATAAGTTTTGTATTATGTAGATTGAATTCATCATATAGCTATACATTAAAATAAATCGGAAATCTTTTCCTAATATATTTATTTATTTTTTTAAATAAAAAACTAATATAATTCAAAATTTTTTTTACTATTACGCAATTAATACCATTGAAATTAATGTATTGATGAGGATAAAATAAGTGTTTAATGTAGGTGATCACTACCAGTTTGTTATGGATCAATGCACTATTGTCCATGAACAACAATATGTGAGAAGGTAATTCAAAAAAGAAATGACACCATAGATTAAGCATATTAACATTATACTAACGTTCTGTCAAATTCGCACGCAAAATATACAACAAATCAAAAAACAAACAACCACAATGTTTAACTAGAGACAATGATTGAATAAGATAGTTACCGATGTATATTTTTTTTTCTTACCGCTCTCTCTCTCTCGCTCTTTGTATCTCTGTTAAGCCCTTGTTGTCAATGAATAATCACCATCGAGAAAATGAAAGACATAAATATATAAATATATATATATATATATAAGCAAAAAGATAAAGCCTTAATCTTAAAAAACAATAGAAGAAGCATAGAATTGAAAGAAAAAGGGAGCATGGTGTATTCATTTTTTACTAGAGAAATGGACAAAATTGATAAAAGATAATACGAAAGAGAATAAAAATGCAATTGACTTGCATGACTGCTTCTAGCCAAACGGATACATATATAAACTAGTGTGGTTTGGTGGCTTTCGTTGCACCAATCAGTTGGATATCAACACAATATTATCTATACCAGTAGAAAAAATACAATAAAATGGCTGCTGCTGATGTTTTATTTACTCAACCTGGTGTAAATTATGATGATCAACTTTTTTTAAATGAATATCAAAACATTTTCGATACTGGTAATACTTCATATGGTGCAACACATTATGGTGTTACTGGTGGTTTAAGGAGAGTAGGAGCTGTAGGTGATTATGGTTTTCCATTACTAACAGATGCTGTTTACGGAGGTGATCGTTTGTATAATGGAGCTGAATTTGGAAGTGCTGACTATGATGTATCATCATGGTATGGTTTATCAGCTGCTGATTTAGCTGCATCACAAACGGCCGGTTTTCAACAGTATATAACAGATACGCAAGGTCTCTACAGCAATCTTCGGCCACGAATTATACGTCGTCGAGTACCAGGTGGTGGTGTAACTTACCAACAAAATGCCGGAGTTCAATACCTTCAACCATCAACTAGTCTACGACCACGTGTAAGTTTTCTTTTTTGTTCGTCTATTATCTTACAATGTTATTTATATTATAGTCACTTATCATCAGAGATATGCGGTCACGTCAACCACCACCACCACTTCCACTTCGTATTCGTCAACAAGTTCGACCACTTCCTCCAGCACCCCCACTTATCTTAAATGAAAGACCATTAGCTCCACCAGCTCTTGTTCCTTCTCAAACTTGTAAATAAGACTAAAAATAAAAAAAAACTTTTTCAATTTCTTATATTTATATTGATTGTTCTGTGTAGTGGTCCGACGATTCAATACTCTTCCTGTTCCACCTCGACCAGTAGTTGTCGAAAGTTTACCACCACTTCCACCTAGACCTCGTACGTTTCTATTCTTTATTTTTAAATATTTTTTTCTTAATCAATTAATTATTATTAGGACCTGTTATTCTTCAACGATGGCTTCCATACAGAGTACAAGCTAAACGAGGAACAATTGTCCAACGTGCACCAACAGTTATACCATATCCAATACCACGCAATATTGTCGTTCAATATGAGCCTACTTCAACGCGTGTTTTGAGAAATGTTCAATGTGTTGGTGTTATTCAAGCAGATCCTCAAGATTATATTCGACGTTACGGTGCATCACTATTGGATTCAAATACACTGGAACGAATAGCACGAGCTGCTGGTGTTATGGAAAATATTGTATGTTTATTTTTTAATGCTACAATATCTGTATAAGCAAAAAAAAAGAAATTTTCTTATCTATTTAGTCGCCACCTATTTTAGGCAGTTCAATAGCTGCTAACTCATTTCAATTTGGTTCGTCTACTGGTACTCTTGGGTATGATGCTGGAGTAGTTGATTTTAATGGTACTGACTTAGAAGCTACTTTCGACGGTAATTCATTAGATGTTTTATCTCAAGATAATTTCTGAGCTACAGAATATTAGAGTAAGATAATTATATATATATATATATATTTGTTTTCTTTTTACATTTTATACGTTATTTAGAAAGCTACAAACAGCATTGGTGAAATACGATCTAGCAAAATATTGTTTTTCTTCGGAAAAGAAAATCCAGTGTCTCAACAATGTCCAATCCATTTTTTTCCCTTCTTTTATTTTTACTTGTCTAACAAAAATATTAATCATGTAGTTAAAAAGTTTTTTGTGGTTTTAATCATTTTTAGTAGTCTTTTTGTTGATATATATATATATATCAAGCAAAAAGAAATAAAAATAAATATGAATATCGATCTAATTTCGATAATAATGAATAAAAAGAAAATTTTCTTTGAATATGATTCATGTTTTTTTTTTATTGAGTATTAAATGTTATTCACAGTTGTTTAAATCATGTTGACAATCAGCTGTATCAATAAGTATGTCATTATTTTAAACACGAAAATGACGTAAATGACGGCGCAGATAAAAAAAACGACACCAACAAAGTAATATATAGGTAGCTATAATGTCAACGTTGCATTGTGTGAATTATTATTATTATTTTTTTTTTTTTGCGATGCACAATTATTCATATAAAAATGATAATTAAAACATGATTTATATTTTAATCACTAAAATTTTCTACAAGAAAAATATCTATGAAATAAAATATTTATTTTATGATAGATTTCATGTAAACTCTTTAATTTTTGTTTATCTAATAAGCCATTTTTCTTTTCAAATATATCACATACGAATTATAGTTTAGATTTAAAATAAATACTATTGTCCATTTTAGAGATAAGTAGCCGTGGATGTTTCTCGAATAACTTTTAATAGGAACGAGATAGAGACCTGCGGTTTTCACCGTTAGAAAGAGCAGGTGAAAATGCATCGAACCGTATATAGAAAGATTTTTGTAACGACTTTCGTGAAGGTTTTATGTAATGCTTCAAAGAAACGAGCATGCCTCTCATGATTGCGATATTAATTTATTGATTTTCAGGAGTGTGCTAGAACCCGACAAATGAAGAGCTACAAAAACCTATGGAAACGCTCTATTCTTAACCACTACTAATAAGATACTTCTGTCGTTGGAGTTCAATTCACCACCTGGTTTTTCAACAAAATAGTCGAAAAATAGAGGTTTTTTGAGGTATTTCGATAGAAAAAACACATTTTCAACGTAGGAGAAAAATGCAATTCTTTGAAAACATTTGATTAAAACCTTTAGGAAAGTGGTTAGAAAAATCTTTCTATATCGGGTTGTGCATAACCTTTTGCTAGGGGGGTAGCGCTATTATTTCAAGGTGAATACCTAATGAATTTTATATCAAATTAAAGAGCGTCGAAAACTGGATTTATTAGTACTAAATAGTAAGAGTTATCAAAATATATTAATGTCGAACTTACGAAATTTTATGCTTTTTTTAGCATAGAAAATTAAGACACCAACAATTTTTTATAGGGAAGAAAAACACTCGATTTTCTCAATAAAATTAGCTTTTTCCATTATTTTTACTAACAAAGACGCTTCGGGATATACTTGTTAGACGCAGCTTTTCACGCTGCATCGGATGAGTCTATTTCGAAGCATCTTTATCAGTAAAGATAATGAAAAAAGCTAATTTCATTGAAAAAATCAAATGTTTTTCTTCCATATAAAAAAACCGAGTTATTAGAGATTTTTTTGGGATTTTACAAGTAATTTTTAAAATATTTTATCTCAGAAAAATGGCTTAAAAAACTTCTGATATATACAGTTTTGTAAAGCTCGACGAGCTCTATCGAACCATGTAAAAATATCAAAAGAAAATATTTCACTCTATATTTGAACTGCTGGTGCCTTAATTTTCTATGCTAAAAAAAGCATAAAATTTCGTACGTTCGACATTAATATATTTTGATAACTCTTACTATTTAGTACTAATAAATCCAGTTTTCGACGCTCTTTAATTTGATATAAAATTCATTAGGTATTCAACTTGAAATAATAGCGCTACCCCCCTAGCAAAAGGTTATGCACAACCCTATATATGATTCGATGCATTTTCACCTGCTCTTTCCATCGATGAGAACCGTAGATCTTTATCTCGTTCCTATTAAAAGTTATTCGAGGAATACCCCATAGCCACTTATCTCTGAAATGAACAATAATTATCAAAATCAAAAGAAGATACTAAAAAATGAATAGAATTTTTTTTTTTGGTCACGTATATTGCATTATAAAAAACTTGACTCTACTTTTTTTATTTAAAATTTATTATAAATAGAAAAATAATTTTTATTTTTATAAATCAAAAAAAATCATTTATATCTAATGTACTATTTGTACTTTGTTGAGTATTTGTTATTATTTCATTATTATTATCCGTTGCTGCTGTTGTTGTATTAAGTAATGTTTGATTCAATAATTCACTTGTAAGTGTTTTTGACGTTGTATGATTATCTTTATTTACATGTGCACAATCAGAAACAATTGAACGAATCTTAAAAATATATTCTATAGAAATACAAAATTTTTATAAATAATTTACCATAGTTTCATATGATAATGTAAGTAATTTAACAAGACGTTCATCATTATATGAAATACCTAATCGTTTCAAATGATATTGTATAAGAGATATACGAAAAGATGGTTCATATTTTGACATTTGATTACATAATTGTTCAATATCTTCAACAGTAACTTGATCATCTTTATCATTTGTAGGTGTATTTGATGCTTGAGAAGAAGCCATTTGTTTTTAGTAGATGAAACTAACTTTTAAAAAAAAGTAGTATTTGGTAATTATTTGCTCATTGGCAATACATTTATCCAATAATATACAGAGATTGATAGAATGTCGCTTGTTTACAACAAAAATACTCATGGGATATGAAATTGTATTTGATTTTCAGTATTTCGAAAGGCAAGTATACCGAGCTGAAGTCAAATGTACCTAATGTTTTCTGTTTTCGGTATATATTTCGTTTTATTTATTGTTAAATAAAATAACAGATTGTTTTCAAGATGAAAACTGAATAATAAATAGACTAAACCTGAATTGTAAAACATATCTTTAAACTGAACTCATCGCCTATAAGATTATCAAACTTTCGAATCATTCAAAATGTTAAATTTAACGTGAATTTCATACCATTCCCATGTACCAAAGTTTTCATTTATTTTTTAAATTTTCGATTGGTTCTGATTCTCTTGCTCTTATACACACTCATTGTTAATGCTGAAACTCGTTTTCACTATTTTATAATTACCAGTCTGGTCTTCATTTTCATAATCTAGAGCAAAAAAAAACACAAAGTTCTCACTTCAACGTCGTTATTTTTTTGAATCAAATTGAGAGCGAACGGAACTTAGTATCAAAATTTCAAAAAAAAACCAAGCTTGATCGTATACGAACATGATACATTTGTAATAATGCTCGAACAAAAATTCAACGACTCTTATTGACCTTTAGATCATTACTACACAAAAGTAACGATTTCGGAATTCTATGTTGAGAAACTATTCATTAAATTTATGATAGGAAAGAAGAATTTTGTTTTTGTTATACTTTTGTTTAGAAGAGAAAGTTACACATCATCGACTCTGTTTATTGATGTGTAGGCGAATACGTATACTAATTAGTTACTTAATGTGAGAGAAAAAAAAAAGTAATTAAGGAATAAAAAACAAAAACCAAAAACGTTAATGTAATAATAGTATCATTGACATAAATGAAGTATGAACAGATGAAGTGCGTGATTATGATCATTTTAAATGACTTCAAAAATTCGTTGTTTTGTATTGTTGATTTAATAAATTAAATAAGATGAATTCTAATTCGAAAAATTGATATATATGATTAAAAGCCTTAGAACTTCAATATTTTATTTCAGTTGTTTTTCTTATTATTTTTTTGAAGAAAAGATACATCATGATTTTCCTTATCTTTGTACTACTGTCAGATAAATTTCGATAAATGATTGCTCATTTCATGTAAGAAATCTAATGTTTTTATGAATTATATTTTCAATAGGTTATCTAAAAAAAAATTAAAATTTCAAATAGTTTGTACGTCATTCAAATTCTTATTATGTCAAATTTTTGGAGAATCTATGCAGATCGACTATGAAATTAAACTAAAAAGTCACAGATATCATCTAAGTCAAACAACAGGGTTAATTTCTAGCTTTATATTTGCAAAACAACTATGTTTTTCTAATTGTTTATTCAAGTAAATTTCCGTTTAAGTCAGTTTTTGAATAACTAACAATACAAACTTCTCAAATCTACCTTTAAAATATGAACTATAGCTTATACATTTCTCAATTCAAATATTTAGGGAAAAAATTAGGTATTGAGATTTCTGAAGGAAGCTATTGCCGTTTAAAGCGTTCCAAACAAACTTGTTCTTATTCTAAGTGATTCCCACTCACTCAAACAATTTTCGAATACAAAAAAACTTCAATATCTTTAATTTCATTATTTTTTTTTTAAATTCTATGTTATCTAAGATATTTTAGGTTTTGATTTTTCGATTTATCTGATTCTCATAATAATACAACACCAATCTTCAGTTCATTCGAATAATATGCTAACCCATATATTTGCATACGATGAAGATTTCGTGGAGGTTTTTGTTGAGCAGATGAATAAAAATTATTTTCATGATAGAATCGAAAAAAAGAAATGATATCTAATATGAAGTATTATTGATTTAATTAAATAAAAATAAAAAAATATTCTAAAATTAGTTTTATGAATTAAATACTTTTGTTATGTTTAAAAATATAATTTCACGTACAATAAATTCTATATTGAGTGTTGATATTTAATTCTTAAGACCAAAGTTGACTGTTAATAGTTTGATTCACAATAAGAAATATTCGATGAAGACATTTTTTCACATCAAGCTCGTTTTATCAGTTGTGTTTACTGAAATTAATCTAATTTTTAACTTTGAAATTATCAATATGAACACAGCAATAAATGTTAACCGTTACTGTTCGTGAGTCCAGCTGATCATAGATAAAGAATTACAGAGATAATCAAGCAATAAATCGAAGAAATTTATATAAATCAGGTTTACATCCGTTAGTAGACTTCTGTTAGTAACGAATTTTACAATAAACCCCCGGACACATTAGAAGACCCCACCCCTGTAGTAGAGATGACCCTCCCTTGAATCAACGAAGCGAAGGATAGATGAGAAGATCCATCCATCTCCTCTGACGATCCCCTTAGAAGCAGGTGAGCAGGTCCTCTAATCTATCCTTTGGGTTGTTGATTCAAGAGAGGGTCATCTCGACTATAGGGGTGGGGGGTCTTCTAATGTGTCGGAGATTTAATGTTTCATAATCTTTTTTTTTGCTGACTTTGATGACCTCATTGGTCGAAATGTAAGTTTTGTTATATAGCATAACAAAATAGAAGTTCTGATTTTAGCATAGTGTGATTGTTTTTAGGATAAAAGTATTTCATATTCAATCGTTCAAATGACTATTCATTTTTCTTAGCAGATATCGATGTCATTATCTCGTAGGAAAAAAATAGAATTCTCATTTATATATTTGCTATTGCATAAAGCGAATTGAGAAAGAATGGAATTTTGTAATAAAGTTTGAATGAAAATTGTCCTACTTGCTGATCTTTAGATCATTGTAATACAAAATAGTAATTACAGATTATGCGTCATGAGGCAAAAATCTCGATAGAATAATACATAATGCTTCACATCATTAATAGTGTAACTCATTGTATCATTTTTTAATACTTAATTTGTTTATTCTCTATTCTCTCATGTCACATTGATCGTATGAAGTAATAAGAACAAAACTCTGTGTCAAATTTATTTATAGTCGATACGGAGATCATCCGAGGCTGCGCGAGGATTAAAGGGACGTATAACAAAGACACATGAAGAAAATATCTCAAAAGAGTGATCAATGTTCTATACTTTACTCGTATAAATAGACTCTACAAAAACACGGTGTTTTATATTCTTCCATAGAAATACTAATTAAAACGTTGATTTTGAAAGAAAAGTTTTATGAATATTGAATATCATATGTTAAATTTTAGATTAATGGAAACTTGACGATCAATTTTTTTTAATCGACTTGTGTATAAATTTTCTAGTCAAACTAGAATAATTCATTATCTGATGATATTCAAAACTGTGATAGTAAGAAAAACAAAATCTCATAATTCACACCAACAAATATTTCTTTCTATAGATTTCAATCAAAATTCAGTATATATTTGTTCATTTTTTGAAATATAAAATAATTTAATGAAAAACTTATTAACTAGAATAAATATGCGATTGTTCTATATTCAACATCTAAGACGATTGAAATTGTCATATAAGAAGAGAAGTGCATATTAATAAAGGAACGTGATGATTTTGAGTATGTTATTGATAAATAGCAATGCGTAGGCTAATTCAAAAAGAGAAGAAAAAAAAACAACACCACAGAGTAATGATTAAATTAATATTTACTTTCTACTAAATACAAATGCACAGTTGACCATCAGTCAAAAAACATTAAAATAATCTTTAACAATGGATAAGGGTTTAATTATATTGTTATCGATGCATTCTTTTTTTTATCTATTTTTCTCTGTATTGTTGTTAAATGCTTTTTTTGTCAATAAACAATCATAATCGAAAAAAAAAAATGAGAAAGACAAAGCCTACGTGTCAATGTCTAAAATGATTAAACCTCAAAAATTATATTTAGAACAATAGAAAATGGTATAAGATTGAAAGGGAAAAAGGGCAATAACTGCTTTCTTCTTATTACATTAATCGACAAAACTGATGAAAAATATTTAGAAGAAAAATAAACGTATGGCTGACTTGCTTGACTGCGTCTAACCAAGTTGATGAATATATAAACCCAATGCGAATTTGATGGTTTTCGTTATAACAATCGTTTTAATATCAACACGTTATCATCTACTCTAGTAGAAACACGATATAACAAGATGACTGTTGCTGATGCTTTATTCAATCAAGCTGATCTAAACCAAGATCAACAAATTGACATAAATGAATTTCGAAATTTTACTGGTGCTGGTGGTCTATCAGCCTATGGCACTGGTAATTTAAACACATGGAGAGTTGTTGGTGGTGGTTATGGAGGTGGTCTTGCTTATGCTGGAGCTGGACTTGGTAGTGCTGATTATAATGCATCAATTATCAATGCTGGTGCTGATTTAGCTGCAGCTAACTATTTATCTACATCGCAATTGACTGGTTATCAACAGTATGCAACTGATTCTCGAGGTCTCTATCAAGATCCAAATCCAAAAATTATACGTCGTCCAGCACCAGGTGGTGCTGTTACTTACACACAAAATGTTCGAGTTCGATTTCTTCAACCACCACCTGTTCCAGCACCAGGCGTAAGTTTTCTTTTCTTTTTCGTCTAATATCTCACAATTTTATTGATATTATAGCCATTGATTATCAAAGAAGTGCGACCACCTCAACCACCACTACCACCTCCACTTCGTATTCGTCAACAAGCTCCACCTTTTCCTTCACCACCTCCACTTATATTACGTGAACGACCACCAGTTCCACCACCTCATATTCATACTCAAACTGGTAAAAGAGAAACAAAAAAAAAATTTTTTTAATTCTCTTGTATTTATATATTGCATTTTTTCTTCTTCTCTAGTTATCCGACAACTGCCTGCTGTTCCTGTTCCACCTCGATCAGTCATTATGGAACGTTTACCAGCAGCACCACCTAAACCTCGTATATTTCTATCTTTTATTGTTTTTTTTTTGTACTATCTTTATGAATGAACTAATTATGTTTAGGTGATATTTTTATTGAACGATGGATTCCATATAGATCACAACCTGGACGAAAAACAATTGTTCAACGTGCACCACCAGCTCAACAGTATCCAAGACCAAGAAATACTATCATTCAATATGAACCTGCTCATGTACGTGTTATGCGAAAATTTCAACGTTTTAGTGTTGTGAAAGAAAATCCAGCATTATATGTTCAACATTATGGAGCAACACTTTTAGATTCTCAGTCATTGGTACAACAAGCACGTGCTGCTGGTGTTGTTGAAGATATTGTATGTTTATTTAATATTATAATTTTTGTATAAAAAAAAAAATAAATAAATTTTCTTATCTATTTAGTCACCACCTGGTTTCGTTGGTTCATTGGCTGGTGACTCCTCTCAATTATTATTATCGGGTGGTAATCTTGGTTATGACATTACCAATGTTTTTGGAGGTTATAACACTTTTGATACTGGCACAATTGGATTTAATGATATTGGATCCTATCAATCGTCATATTACACAGGTGGTACTGATTTTTCAACATTTGATGCTGGTTTAGGAACTGCTGATCTTCTCGGATCAGATTTTAGTGGAATTAGTTCGTATGATTTATCATCATACAATGTATTAAATAATGCAACAATTGGTAGTACAGCATTTGCTGCTACACTTTAAAGTAATATGATTATTTTGTGTATTTTCTTTTCATATGATGTACATTATTTAGGAAGCTACAATCGATTTCAGTAAAATGAAACGTAACAAAGTATGCTTCTTTGGAATAAAATTCAACTTTATAAAATATTTAATTCATTTTTTTTTTTCTTAAATAACAAAAAATTTGATTCTTCTTGCTATAGGTTTGTTTTTTTAATTTTAATTATTTCAAGTAGATATTTTTTGTTAATATGTTTAAAACAAATTAAATATAAATAAATTGCTCTATTTAAAAATTTATTTTAATTATAATTATTTTAATTCTAATTAGTATACCTTTTTTTTTTGTTTTATTCATTGATGCAAACAAAAAAAAACACAAAACAAAAAACTAAATGATAATAAGTAATACAATAGTCCCTTATGCATACATATATAAATAATAAAACATAAAGAATGCAGCGAATGAAGCGGAACGAATGCATATTATGTAAAAAACTAATTAAAAAAAAAAGGAGACGAAAAGAAAGAAATAGAGTTTTTTTTATCGTTGTTTGATGCCAAAACACCAAAAAATATTACTGATTGTTTCGAATCCAGAGCTTACACTAACAAAACGGGCATTTCATAATGTTGACTTTATTGCTTGAAAAACATTTTATTAGAACTCAAACTTGTTTTCATACTCTTGGGCATCCTGTACTTGTACGCTATTGAGCAACTTACAATACTTAGATAGTGTTCAAAATTCTATATCTTTAGTTTGTATCATCTGATATATGTAGTAAAAATATGAGATCAAACTGACTATATACAAAGAAAAATTTGACTTGTTACTTTCGACCCACTTCTTATTTAGATCTCAAGATATTTATTGAAAGGAAAATTTAATTAGTTTTTTTTTTTCGTTGCATTGTGAATAAAAGACGATTCTCAATAAGTTTTAATCGAGACACACACACATAAATTATGATATATTCAATATCTGAATGTATGCGCTTATAACTAAAGTTTAATTATTCAACTTATGAATTAAACATATTATTATTGATTATCAATGATAATGTGATGATTAATCACACGTAGATGATCAAAAACAAAAACCTATCTCCGCCATTTTTCTCTCTCTCGCATGTTTCATGTTCGAAATAAAATGAGAAAGAAAAGTAATCTTAAACATGGTTACATTATACGATAGACACTTATTGAATATGAGCACATTCATTATATATATTCGTTGATCATTACATTTGTTTATATCCGATCTAAAGCGATTACATATCAGCAAATCATTCTCATTAGCAATGTCAACAGATCGTATATCACAAAATTGAGTTATTAACAAAACAATTCAAATATATCATTTTATTTTATGAAAAAAAAAATATTCTTCATAAATATAAAATAGGATTAAACGTCTCTATCATACATTATCACATATTAATAGAACTAAAATATGTATATGTGATTTAACCGTATGGATATGAAACAGAGATGTCCATCGCGGTTGAAAACTGACCGCTACCGCACCGCGGTGATAAAAACAGAAAACCTACCGCGCCGCTGCCGCGACGCCACCAAAAATAACCATGCCGCGACCGCGCCGCTGCCGCGATGATTGTTAGAATAATGTTGTGAATTTTACGATCTGTGACTGTTCAGGACTAGAGCTGTTGTTACTAATCGATAAGATTCGTTGAAACTCATAGTTTTGCACTTGCAAACATTGAAATTCTGTTCGAATTCATGCATTTTTGCATTGTTCTACAAAAAAACCTACCGCTACCGCGCCGCTGCCGTGATAGTTAGTTAAAAAAACGACCGCTGCCGGGCCGCACCGCCACAGCGGCAGCGGTCGCGCCGCGATGGACATCTCTGATATGAAATAGTACAAATACAATATGAGTTATATTGAATATCGAACATTTTTTGAATCTATGTCTTACACAATTACCTTATATATATATATATCAAAATTAGAAGATTTAATACTTAATCAAGGTACAATTGATAAATAATTTAGAAATAAAATCTATTTCAAAAGAAAATCATGAATAATGATTTAAATATGTATTACATTTTCTAATACACTGGATTTGTCTGATAATAAGTTCATGTTTACTTAACAGATAACAAAAAAAAAGAAAAGAAACTTGAAGAATAATTAATAAATAAATAACAAAATTTATTAATTATTTAAAGATATATATTAAATTTAAGAAAAATTAAAAACTGAAGAGATTTTTTTTATAAATAAAATGCTAAAATCGAATATGAAAAAAATTTTGTATGAGTTATTATTATAAATAATATGATTTACTTTTTATTAAATTTAAATTTTTAACTAAATAACATCAAAATTAATGTATCTATATATATTTTTTTTTATCATCAATTTATTTAAAATATTAATGCATTATTTTCACATAGTAAACAAGATTCTTATTTTAAGAGAAGAATATTTAAATAATTTAATACAATAAACAGATCATTTCATATTACAGAAATATTATTTTATTCATCATCTATTTTACTAAATCTTCTACAAACTTAATAAAGAAAATGAAAATAGATAAAAAGATTCTTTGAGAAATATAATGATTACATACATATCAATTGCATTATTAATAAATACGAATAACAAAAACAATGTTAGCAATAATTTTAGTGTTCGATCCATTTGAAATTCTTTGCAGAATTGTACTTTCTCGGTAACTTGAAGGTATCTTTTAGTTTAATTAACTTTATTCAGAAATATATCAAAACCTACGAACTCAAATTTTGAAATTCTTTTACTAATGAACTTTTCATCGCTTTCATTTAAGTTGTGTAATAATTCAACTGAGCTATTTTTCTTTTTCTTTTTTGTTATATTAATCATTATATTTTATGATATGCCATTTGATCGCCTAATCATCAGTTGTGCTGTCAGCATGATGAATGTTCCCAGTTTTTTTTCTTCTTAGGATATTGCTGATATTGATCGACATCTGTTTTCTTTCAATGAGCTCTTATAATGTCTACAATAGCTACGCTTCGTTTGTATACAAAAGAGAAACATTTGTCAAAAGAAAATACAGATATTTCTATGAAGAAGTCAATTAGTACGGAGTGATAGTCTTTTATTGTAACTATTTTTAATCTTGAATAAAGGATATTTATAAAACCAAAGTGGTTGTGGTCATTTTTGCAATAACTCAACGGTGAAAATGTTCATAACTAGACTTTAGCATCCTACTTCGAAAAAGACGGAGAAAATGTGTACGTGTAATATTTGGATTTGTACTTCAAATATTACGTACCAATTTTTCGTCGATGGTTCCTCTTGAAAATATTATTATTTGATACAAAATTCAATAGTGCATTTAACTCGAGCGAAAATAGATTTAATTCAAATCTAGGAGCGCACATCAACAAGAAAAAAACTCAAATTTGCTGCTAACTTTTTTTTTTTACATAACTCAATAGAAGAAGGATGAGTATTATTGAAATGATCTTTGATATGAAAGAGATAAATATCTGTGGTTTTTATTGTTTTAAAGAAAATATAAAACTCCATCGAATTATATATATTAGAATATTCTGATAAGTTTGATTAAGAACTGTCATAAGATCTATTAAAAAATGTTCGATGGTGTCGAGTTTAACTAATAATAAGTTACAAACATTTCATTACATGTTATATCGATAAGTTTTTCTGATGTTATTACGAAAAATATTCCTTATAAAAACTTTGATTTTATTAGAAATTTGTTAGACAAATCTAGTATATATGATTTACTGTAGATTTATCTTTCCTTTTAAATAGTCAAAAACCACAAATATCTATCTTACTCCTATGAAAATTTTTTTTTCGAACACATTAACCTTTGTTTTACTTTGAAATGAATATAAGTTGTCAATATCTACCTTTATGTTTTTGCAAAATTTTCTAAACTCTTCTTTCAAATAAATTTCATTTTGAATAACTAACAATAGAAACTTCTCAAATATGTCTTTAAAATATGAATTATAACTTATACATTTCTCAATTCAAATATTCAGAAAAATTTTAAATATTGAAATTTTTTGACGAAGCGATTGCCATTTTAAAGTCATTCAAGATATTTTAGATTTTTTGATTTTTAGATTTATCTCGTTTTCATAATCATACAATGCTAATTTTCGATTCATTCGAACAATAAAACAATTTTTTTTTGTACATTGTACAATATTATGATAAGTTATTTTTGTTTATATCAACAAATTTGCCCAGTAACTATCATTACAAACAATAATTATTCGTCCATGACCAACAAAAACAAAAATGACAAACAATATTTGTTAATATGCTACGCCTGTATGACAAACACATCTTTTTTTTTTTTCAACAAATATTTTTACCATTAATTTAACTATTCATCATCATATAATAGTTAAGTTACTGATTATTTTTCATTTAATATATGCATAACAATTTTTTACATATCGTTATTTTTATATATTAATATAATAATAAAATTTCATTGAATTGATTTATGATAATGAATGTTAAGTATAATATGAGTTGAATGACATTTCATTAAGAATCATCCTTTTCATTTGGAACGATAAGTTAAATCGTATGTTTGCATACGATGAAGATTTCGTAGAGAGTATATGAATATAAAAATTATTTTTATGATAGAATCGAAACAAAAAAATGATATTTAATATGAAGTATTATTGATCTAATTAAATAAAAATAAATATTTAATAAATTTCATTTTATCTTCAAGACAAAAGATTTTTCGAAGCTATTCTCTTATTGAATTATATTCAGTCAATAAAATTAAAATAAAAAATATTCTAAAATTAATTTTATGAATTAAATACTTTTGTTATATTTAAAAATATAATTTTGTACAATGACTTCTATATTAAGACTATATTCAATTATTGTATTCTTATTTTATGATCAATAGATTTAAATATCATTTGATTGTTAATAGCTTGATTCATAATAAGAAACATTCTTTTACATCAAACTCGTTTTATCAGTTATATTTACTGAAATAAATCTAGTTCTTATCTTTGAAATTATCAAAATGAAAACAGCAATAAATGTTAACCGTCACGGTCTGTGAATACAACTGATAATAGATAATGAATCACATAAAGAATCAAAATAGTGTTTATCTTTGTTAATATATTTCAATGACCTTATTGATCGAAACGAAAATATTCTAATATACAGTAACAAAACAGAAGTTCTGATTCCAGCCTAACATGATTATCTTTATAACCAACGCATTTCATATTCAATTGTTCGAATAATTACTTTTTTTTTTTTTTTTAAATAAATATCGATTTATCTACCAATCGACATTGAAAATTTCGCATAGCATATTGTAATCAAGTGAAACTCGAATGTTATCAGTGTTTTTCTATCAAAGTTGAGAAAAATAAATAAATAATTACTATATAGAAAAATGAAGCTTTATAATAATATTTCAACAAAAATCATAGGACCGTACAGTTTTCTTTTTATATCATTATAACGCAAAATAGTAATTTCGAGTTTTTGCGTCGTGATAAATAAATTATAAGCAACTACTATACAATATTTCGTATCTTTAATAATAAGTATGATTCATTATATCATTTTTAATATTCGATTTTTTTTCCCTTCTATTCTTTGATGTCGTATTGATCGTATGACAGTAGAAAGAACCTAACTGCGTTTTTCATTTATCTTATTTCTTTATAGCCGACACAGAGACTACACAAGGCTTCTTGATGATTGGATGAAAGGTATGACAAGAACGTATGAAGAAAATATCTCAAAATAGTGATCAAAGTTCAAAAAAAATTTCATAGGTTTACTTAACAATAGTCGATCATATTTAAGTATTGAGCAGATGAATACGACACTCTTTCGACTTTTGTAGTTCTTGAGTGGATATGTATTGTTTGCAAGCACAAAAATAGAATTTTTATTCTTGTTTTCTCTCATACATATTACAAGAACTTCGTTGTTATATATACTTTATTTGTATAAATAGACTCTACAAAAATACGGTGTTTTATATTCTACCATAGAAATACTAATTAAAATATTGATTTTGAGACAAAAAAGTTTTGTGAAATATTGAATATCATTTCTTAAATTTTAGATTAATGGAAATCAAATACAGAATGTAATTATTATCAAAATCATGATATTTCAAAAAAGAAAAGAACAAAATAGTTAATCTAACAATTCACATCAACAAATATATTTTTTTTATATATATGAAATTCAATCGAAATATGTTGATTTTTTTTTTTTGATTTTGAAAAGAAACTGTTTGTTTTACAATCAATTATTTTTACATATTTATCTTTTTGAAAAAAAACATAATTCAATTAGAAACTTATTAACTAAAATAAATACGCGATTGCTTTGTATTTAGCCACTAATACGATTCAAACTGACATATACAAGGAGAAGGGATGAAGCACATGTTTGAGGTATGATATATTTTGGTGTGTGATATGGATGAATGCACAAATATCCATGAATAGCTATGTGTAGGATAATTCTAAAAGAGAAGAAAAAAAAACAACGTCATAAAATAATCATTAAATTAATACTGACAATACTAACTTCACATGTTAGGTTGGGGGTCGATCAAAAAACACGAAAATAGTCTTTACCTATAGATAGTGGTTGTATGAGATTGTTATTGATGCATTTTTTTATCCCTTTTTTTTTTTTCTCTGTATTGTTGTTAAATGCTTTTTCGTCAATAAACAATCATAATCGAAAAAAAAAAGAAATCAGAAAGACAAAAGTCTATATGTCAATATCTAAAGTGATTAAACCTCATTATTATTTCAAGGACAATAGAATATGGATAAGATTGAGAGGAAAAAAAAAAGGGCAAGATCTATTTTCTTCTCATTACATGAATCGACAAAATTAATGAAAGATATTGAGAAGGAAAAAAAAATAGTGTTATTGGCTTGCTTGACTGCGTTTAACCAAATTTGATAGCTATATAAACCAATGCAAATTAGTGGTTTTCGTTTTAACACTCGTTTCGATATCAACACGTTGTCATCTATACTAGTAGAAAATATACAGTAAGATGACTGCTGCTGATGTTTTATTCAATCAAGCCGATCTAAACCAAGATCAACAAATTGACATAAATGAATTTCGAAATTTCACTGGTGCTGGTGGTCTTTCATATGGAGCATCAGATTATGGTTATGGTGATTTAAGCACATTAGGATATGCTGGTGATTACGGTTATTCATCAATAATAGGTGGTGGTGGTTATGGTGGTGGTTATGGTGGTGATATTATTTATACTGGAAGTGGTTATGGTGGTGCTGGTTATAATGCATCATTATACGATTCATCAATTATCAATGCTGGTTTAGGTTCAGTTAACTATTTATCTACACCACAATGGACTGGTTATCAACGATATGCAACCGACGCTCGAGGTCTCTATCAAGATCCAAACCCACAAATTATACGTCGTCCAGCACCAGGCGGTGGCTTAACTTACGCACAAAGAATTCGACTTCGATTTCTTCAACCACCACCTGTTCCACCACCAGGCGTAAGCTTTCTTTTTTATTTTCAGTCTATTATCTCACAATGTTATTGATATTTTAGCCACTGATCATTAAAGAAGTACGACCACCTCAACCACCACCACCAGCTCCACTTCGTATTCGTCAACGAGCTCCACCTTTCCCTCCACCACCTCCATTGATCTTACGTGAACGACCACCAATTCCACCACCTCGTATTCTTCCTCAAACTGGTAAAGAGAAACAAAAAAAAAAGTTATTTCGATTCTCTTGTATCTATATTGATTATTTTGTCTAGTTATTCGGCGACTACCTGCTCTTCCTGTTCCACCTCGATCAGTAATTGTCGAACGTTTACCACCACTTCCACCTAAACCTCGTACGTCTTTATCTTGTATTGTTTTTTGGTACTATCTTTATGAATGAACTGATTATATTTAGGTGATATTATCCTTGAACGATGGATTCAATATGGACCACAACCTAGACGAAGAGCAATTGTTCAACGTGCACCACCAGTTCGGCCATATCCAATACCACGTAATATTGTCATTCAATATGAACGTGTTCCAGCGCATGTCGTTCGACAATTTCAACATCTTGGCGTTGTTCAAGAAAATCCAGCATTATATGTTCAACGTTATGGAGCATCACTTTTGGATGCTTATTCATTGGTACAAATGGCACGTGCTGCTGGTGTTGTTGAAAATATTGTATGTTTATTTAATGTTATAATTTCTGTATAAAAAAAAAAAATAAATTTTCTTATCTGTTTAGTCACCACCTGGTTTCGTTGGTTCATTGACTGGTGACTCCTCTCAAGTTTTATTATCGGGTGGTAATCTTGGTTATGACATTACCAATGCTTTTGGAGGTTATAACACTTTTGATGCTGGAATAACTGGATTTAATGATATTGTACCCTATCAATCGTCATATTACACAGGTGGTACTGATTTTTCAACATTTGGTGCTGATTTAGGAAGTTTTGAGCTTCTTGGAGCTGATGCTGGGGGTACTACTTCGTTTGAGTCATCCTCATTGAACGTGACAAATGATGCAACAGTCGCTGAGGCAGCAGTCGCTGGTGTACCAGTCGACAGTACAACATTTGGCAATGCAACAGTTAGCAGTACAACATTGGGCGATGCAGCAGTTATCGGTACAACAGTCGAAAATAGGGCAGTCGGCGATGCAGTACGTCTTGATACATCAGCTAGTGCGGTAACACTTGGTTCTATAACATCTACTATTCCAGTAGAATCAGTAGTTACTACTGATGTCAAGCGTGATAATGCATCATCCAGAAGTGGATCCACTATTTCTAAAAGTTCTAAAGCTTCTAAAAGTTCAAGTAATATAATTATTTGATTTATTTGATTTTATTATATTTTGTATATTATTTAGAACGTTAAAATTGGTATCGATGGAGTGAGACGTAGCAAAGCATGTTTGTCTATTCAACACAATTTTATCTCACGATGTATTCAATTCATGCTTTTTTTTTTGCTTCAATAAAAAAAAAAAATATAATTCATTTCGATATTGAGTTTTTTTTTTTAATTTTAATTAATTCAAGTAGTTTGGTGTTAATATGTGAAGAACAAATTAAATAAAAAGAAATTGCTCTATTCAAAAATATAAATATATATATATTATGATTACAATACTTATGATTGTAATTGGTGTACCCTTTTTTTTTTTTCTTCTTCTATTTATTGAAGCAAGGAAAAAGCAAAACAAGAAACTAAATGATAACAACTAACATAATAGTCCCTTATGCATACGTATATAAATAATGAAAAGCAAGAAATGCAGCAAATGAATAAATAATTAATGTTTAAAAAATTATAATCAAAGAAAATGAGCAAATGAAGCAGAACGAATGTATATAATGTAAAAAACAAATAAGAAGAAAGAAGTAAAGTTTCTTGTCCTTGTTATATGAATTCATTCGAATTCATATGTTCTTCTTTATAATTGATGAAAATAATAATTAATAAATTACGTATATTATTCTCTAAAACAAAAATATTATAATAAATGAAAATTTTATAGAAAAAAAAAACATATTCTAGTATATTTACTAGAGTCTAAGATGAGAGCTAAGAAATTGACGAAATTCATTAACATCAAGTGTTCCATCTTTGTTAATGTCTGCAGCTTGGAACGCAGCAGCAACTGAATCCATACTGTTAATTTGAATATCACCAGATGAAGCATTATAACTTTCATAATCTGATACACCGGCACCACCAAATGCTATATTATCATTTTGCAATGCTGCTAAACCTGTTTCATATGATGATGAAAAATCTTGAGCAAGACCAGCACCTTGTGTTGATTCAAAACCTGAAAAACTAGCATTGCCTTGTTGACCACTACCATAACCTACTGATTCAAAAGATGATGCAGAAGCATCAAAATCACCACCAATTGTTTCAAATCCAGAGCCTGCACCAGCATATCCTGCATTAAATAATGTTGAACTTGCTCCACTACTGACAAAACCACCTGGTGGAGACTAAAAATTATTTAGAAAACAAACAAACAAACATTTGTAAAGAAGAAATCTATTATGAAATATTATATTATCTTACAATATCTTCAACAACACCAGCAGTACGTGCTTGTTGTAATAATGAATTAGAATCCAAAAGTGATACTCCATAACGTTGAACATATAATTGTGGATTTTCTTGAGTAACACCAAGACGTTGAAATTGTCGAATAACACGAACTTGAACAGGTTCATATTGAATAATAATATTACGTGGTCTTGGATATTCTCTAGCAGCTGCGGCTCGTTGAACAATTGTTTTTCGTTTAGATTGTGGTCCATATGGAATCCATCGTTCAATGATTATATCACCTAAACATAATTAGCTCATTAATGAAGATATTACAACGAAAAAAAAAAAAATAAGAATAAAATATAGAGATATACGAGGTTTAGGTGGTGCTGCTGGTAAACGTTCGATAATGACTGATCGAGGTGGAACAGGAATGGGAGCCAATTGTCGGATAACTAGAAAAGAAGAAAAAACAATATAAATACAAGAGAATTGAAATAATTTTTTTTTTGTTTCTCTTTTACCAGTTTGAGAAGCAATAGGAGCTGGTGGAATTGGTGGTCGTTCACGTAAGATCAATGGAGGTGGTGGAGGAAGAGGTGGAGCTTGTTGACGAATACGAAGTGGAGGTGGTGGTGGTGGTTGAGGTGATCGCACTTCTCTAATAATCAATGGCTATAATATCAACCATATTGTGAGATAATAGACTTAAACAAAAGAAAAAAAAAGGGCTTACGCCTGGTGCTGGAACAGGTGGTGGTTGAAGAAATCGAACTCGAATATTTTGTGTATAAGTCACACCACCGCCTGGTGCTGGACGACGTATAACGTGTGGATTTGGATCTTGATAGAGACCTTGAACATTACTAGTGGCTAATTGAAGTTGTTCTTGTGAAGTACTTGTTTCGAATGTTGATGGAATAGAAAATCCTGCAGTTCCATGTGATAAATCGATACCAGATGATGAACTTGATGCAAAACCACCAAAATTCGAGCCTGACAATGCATTGGCATCAAATCCATAACTACCAGCTCCTGTTAATGTAGTTGCATCAAAACCATTAGTACTAACACCAGATGCCGATGTATAAGATGATTGATCATATAAACCATAGGTTGATTCACCACTGGCAGCTCCTGTACCATTGGTAACTGCTCCGACTAATTCAGCACCAGCAATATTTCCATTACCATACAAAGCTGATGATGACGAGTCATAAGAGCTGGCTGTATATTGACCACCATTATTAGCGGTTGCTCCATAATTTGTTGAATCGACACCTAAATTTCGTGCAATAAGTTGACGAAATTCATTTAAATCAAGCCGTTGATCTTTATTAATATCTATTCAATAGAAAATAATGTAATTTTTTTTAAGAAAAAAAAAAAAAAAGAAGAAAAACTATAGATTAATACCGGCTTGATCAAACAATTCATCAGCCATAGTAATGCGAATATATTACCGACGGTAATATTCAATAAAAACAAGTATACATGAAACTTGTTTTGCTTCTCATTTTAAATACCATGATTGAAATTAATGAAGCAAACCATGTATGACAAGGGCATATTTCGTCTATCATCACCTTTCCATATACAAAGATATTTTCATGACAATTCTTTTACATTCGTAGTTTTACCTACCCCATATATCATTCATTTTCCTATCATAGTTTATCATATCAACCAAAAAGAAAAATTAAAATCGCTTGCCAATATCTCTTTTTCTTCTACAGCGATGGTAATCATAACTTACTTTAACTAGTCTAAAACCACCACTAATAGATAGGTAGCTAATTATGAAGTAAACCTTAAAAAGCATGTTGTTGTGATTCGTTACAAACATGCGATAATGATAGAAATGTATATTTCGAGAGACATCAATTTATCACAGTTTCCATGCTTATTAGAGTTTATTTATCTTGATGATTGCAAATTAAAATATGGACAAAATATAATATATATATTTCAAAGTAAATTTAATTAATTTATTATATAATTTTATGACAAAAAACAAAAAGAATGAAAATATTTAAAAATGCGCCTAAAAAAAAAAAGAATATTGACAAAAACAAAAAAAAAAAACTTTCAATGAATCGAATTCGTTCTGATTTTTTTTTCTTATTCATAATTGTCTAAATTTAATTCTAATATCATATTCAATGGAAGAACGTACACAAAATATACGTAGTCAACCAAAATCATTAGTTATTAATACTCATGATGGTATTAATTTAGGATTAAATACAAGAAAATCTACATTTACAGTTGAAGATTATATTTATCGTGCACGTTTAGCAGAAAAAGCTTTACGTTATGAAGATATGTTAATACAAATGAGAAATGTACTTGATTTAAAAAAGAAATTAACTGCTGATGAAAGAAATTTACTTGTTGTTGCTTATAAAAATGCTGTTACAACACGAAGGACAGGTGTGTGTGTGTAAATGTCTTTCAAAACATATATATATAAATCACTTGGTTTTTTTTTTTGTTGATCTGATAGCCATTCGTCATCTTTCAGTTTATTGTAAAAAACTTGATGAAGCAAAATTAACACAAGTAAAAATAAAATATCAAAAAATCAAAAAAATATTTTTTTTTGCTTTATCAGATTTGTGAACAATATCGAGAAGAAATTGCTAATGAATTATGGAATTTATGTCAAGAATTACTTAGTAATAACTAATTCAAAAAAAAACAAAAAGTTATAATGTTAATTTTTTTTTTTATTATATTAGCTATTGTAAAAGATATTCTTACACCTAATGCTCGTAATGATGCAGAACAAATAGCATTTTATGAACGTATGAAAGGTGATTTTATACGATATGAAATTGAAATAGCATCATCAAATCTAAAAGAATCATTACAAAATGAAGCTAATCATTGTTATTTAAATGCAAAAGAATTAGCTGAAAATAATTTACCAGCATATCATCCTGTACGTGTTGGTATAATGCTTAATTATTCAGTTTTTTGTTTTAATTCAAAATCAAAAGCTGATAATGCTTTAAAAATAGCTAAACAAGCATACGAAGTAAATAAATTATCTCATTAGTAAAAGAAAACAAAAATCGATCTCGTTTTTTTCTTTTTCTTAATTAGGAAGCTTTAGCTGATTATGATCAATTACATAATGAAGAAATGCGTCGTGATGCTCATGCACTTATGAAATCTCTTCAAAATAATATGAAACATTTTGCTAAAGGTCCTGGTAATGATATTGAAGAAATATAAGTTTGTCTTTTTTTTGAATCATATTATATCATCATTCTTATTTTGTTCATATGTACGATATTCTGTTTCATGTAGTTTATTTTTTTTTTCTTTCAGTAAACGTTCAATATAATCCTTCATTGTAATGGTTTGTTCTTTCTTTCTTTTTTTTTTCTGTTCAAAACTATGTAATTTGAACTCAATATTAAACCAAAAAAGAATAGAATATGAGCTCAATTAGAATATAATAAGTAGAAAATAGTGTTAATGAACTGTATCAAAATATTCACAATAACAAATTATGCAAGTTTTTCGAACGTTGTTTTTCTTTCAAATACATCAAAAAAAGTCAATTTAATTATTTTTTTAAAAACATTTAAATATTCATTTTTAATGCTCTAGAAATCGTAAGTTTCATTTCAATGCTTGTCTTACTGAATAATCATATGAGAATTTTTGTTTTTTTGATCGATACATCAATTCTATTTTGATCATAATTAAGATAAAATTTGAATACAAACAAAAGTTTCTGATTGCACTGAAATTCTTTATAAGTAAAATTGTCATATGTATCTTATTTGTATATATTTTGTTTTTCTTTATTAGATATAATGAAACTTATGAACAAACGTGTATAGATATATCTATCAATGTTTTTTTATTTAACTATAAAATAAACAAGAGTATTGTCGTATTTTTTAATTGAAATTATGCTAAATATTGATAAATCAGTCAAATATGAAACCGGAGCATTTTTATATCACTTATAATTCAAGCTGATCAATAGTTAAGCAGAAAATAAATATATAACTACGTTTCTAATGAGACATAATCCGTTCTTATGAGTATTTAATGTTTATTTCATTAGAATAGATAAGAGTGCTCAATCAGTTAGAATACTCGCCGTTATATATTGTGATTTTCTATAGTTATATAGTGCATGTATTATATTAATCACTGGTTGTTATTGTTCGGATTTTATCTCTTGTAAATTAAACGAATTGTTAACGGTTTTTTCAAAATTATTTAATCAAAGATGCATCTATAATTAAAACGATTCGACGAAAGATTTCGACAAATAAATTTTGTTATTTACAAAAAATAGAGCCTTAAAAAAACAAATGATAAGTATTATATTTGTACTTTAACTGATATAAAAATAAGATTTTTTTTGATATACGATTAAGGCTACAGGACGAACAAAAATACCTCAAGGTATCATATCTAATTGACATACTCTCGTGTATATCGCATATCTTGAGGCATAATACTACAGAATAATGATTTATTTTTATTTCTAGTTTTTAAAAGAAAACTATGAGCATTATATATATAATAGAATTTTTCTGAATATTCAAAATATTAATTTTATCAGATAAAATTAATAAAAATAATAAAATATTTTTTTTTCTCTTCAAATCTTTTATGATTAGTTTATGAAAAAAAAAAAAAGTAAGGTTCGTATAATTAACTCTGTATGTCATAGCATTCACAATATGTGTGTACATGAACGAGCACGAAGAACATACAGGGTTAATTTTTAATCGGAAATCAAATGAAAAATGTTATGTGTATATAAGATGCAGTTCAGTGTTAATGATGCTGAAGGTTGAAAAGAATAGATCTCAATTGTCAAAAAAGAGAACTCGAATAAAAAAAAAAAAAGAAAAAGAAATCGAGATAAGTACTATCCATCGAATGATGAGAAAACGAGCAAAATGCTAATGTAATCAAAAGAATGAATATATATAGACTTCTTTCTTTTTCTTTCTTTTTTTTTTTCTCCAGATACCTGGTCAATGCACGCACACACATACACATACAGTGATGATGATGGTGATGCAATGAGGATGACATTGTAAAGTGAGTGAAGCGTTTTATAACAAGGTTAAAAAATAAAAAAGAATATATATATTTCGATTATATTATAAGAAGCATGTATCTTTCTTTTTTTTTTGTGTGTCACTTCACCTTCAATATATCCATCAATTATCTTCAAATAAAATGTTAACAGATTTTTCTTTTTATCTACTATGCCATCAGAATAATTAACTATGTCTGACGTATGTTTTCTTTCAAATATTATGAATAAAGTCAAGATATGACACTAATAATAATAACAATAATAATGACAATATTATCTTTGTCTTTATATTCTACTTATATTAACTAACTTATGAACATTGTACATTTTATAAAGTACTAAAGACAGACGAATGTGTTTATTTTTTGCATGTCATTTGTCTTTATTAACAAGCACGCAACTTATAATGACATGTTTATTCAGTATATATCGTATTTTTGATCAATGAAGATCGATTGAAAATCAACAATGAATAGGTACTTATTTTAAAAAGAAAAAACTTCTTTTTCTTTTGTATTCAAAATATTGTTAAGAATTATTTCTATTTTAGACAATTGATTACTTAATTTTAATTGTTCATATACATATGCATGGGTGTGCATGAATATATATATATATATCTATAGAAAAAAAAGGAAGCATTTGTATACGCCTTTTTTTTAGCTATGACTTTCCGGTTGCTTGATTGAACAATTACAATTTACAGTGTTAACCGATGAAAAAAGAAAATCAAGTGGCGTCTTTCTCGTTTTTTGCTTCTTGTTCTTTATATATATAGATAGATTGACTGACAGACGATTAAGATCTTTTCTGTTCAGGACATGAAGTCAAAAAAGAGAGGATACTCGAATTTTAATAGAATTTGTAAGTATCACTAGGTTACATATGAATCCTAAATTGAATTTATCTCTATTGAGCAGAAAAGAGAGAGAACAAGAAAAGACAATCAGTTATGAGGTAAATTGATTATCCTATCTTCCTCTTGGCTCTTATTCTTTTTTTTTTGTTCTCATTGTCAAGCACCTGTCTGAAGATGACCTCATTTATATTATTGTATATTTGCTTTCCATTCTTTTCTTTTTATCCATATAATCGATGACTAGTTTGCAATGAACGTAAAAGCAAATTTCGCTCATTCAGATCATCGGAAATCGTCTCGCGATGATTTATTCTCGCAGGAGAGAGAGAAGAACAAAAAGAAAAAAAAAAAAGAAACACCAGTAACGGACGTAAAAGAAAGAAAATTTGTTTAGTAAGCCGAAAATCTCTTGAGTGTTCTTTTTTCTCATTGATCAAACTCTTTGTTCTTCATCATTGGTCTTAGATCGATTGATATGATGACTGGTGTAATTGTTTTCTTT